CCCCACACCCACCCAGAGCCCCCGCCCGCCCATCTCCACCCCACCTTCCCATTAGCTGGATGAGAGAGGGGAACGTCTTTGTGCCGGACCCGGCCCCCCTGGGAAAGAGGGATTGATGGGAGGGTTAATTCACTCGTTACCTTCCTTACACATTGCCGTTTTCCCGACTGGAAAAAATGGCTCCCTGACGTGGAGTTACGGTTGATGTTGTCGGAGACATGCATCGCTCGTTTGTCCCCAGATGTGCCTGGAGGCTGCTCAGCGATATTTACGGAGTTTTAGCTGGGAGCACATTGGGGCCGTAGGGTGATGCTACTGAAATTGTCTTAGACGTAGAGACCGAAAAGAAAGGAACATTTTTTCGAGCCATTGATGTGTGCTAGGAGTTTTCCTCTTTTTTTTTTTTTTCTTTTTTTTTATCCTTTCGGTGGTCTTTTGATGTCGATTTTTATAGATGAAGCTGATTAAGAGGGCTAATATCAGTGAGCCCAGGTACAAATATGTGGGAAGAAAAAGATTTGTTACAGAATAGTATATGCAGACAATAGCTGCCTCACGTCTCGGTGCTAGAAGCTGTGTTTAGAGCATCATCAACGTTTTATTTTTGCTGAACACCAAGCGGCAGCTATTGCTAGATCCATTTTAGGAATGAGTAAACCGAGGCACCCGGTTTAATCAACTTGCCCAAAGCCACACAGCTAAGTAAGTGGTGGAACTGGAATGTAAGCCCTACACTGTTGTTGTGATAAGGTATCATCAGCCCCTGAAACAAAGGATCACATGGGACACCTACAGTGTGTAGGGCACTGGGGCAGTACTAGAGCACAGGCTGTATTTATTTGTTTTTAGTTTTTATTGAATTTATTGGGATGGTATTGGTTAATAAGTTATATAGGTTTCAGGTATACAATTCTATAATACATCATCTGTATATTGTGTTGTGTGTTCACCACCCCAAGTGTACAGACTTTAGACTTGGGCCTTTACTGAAGATTTCATGATCCAGTTGAAGAAACTGGAAATATATGTACATACAATTTTTAAGTAAATATTTTAAGTTATACAATTCATGTAATTTGTGCATAACAAATTTTCTGTCTGTATATAATTTTTAAGTTGGTATACCAAGTCATTGTATATGAAGAATTCTTTTTGTGTGTGTGCGTGCATGCCCACATCTGTGTGTGTATGTGTTTGTGTGACTTAAACAACATTATTGTCCCTCGGTTCTTGAGGCTGGAGGTCTGAAATCAAGGTATCTGGAGGTTGATTTTTCCTTAGGGCTGCGAGGGAGAGGCTTCCATGCCTCTCCTCCTACCTTCTCATAGCCTCAATATGAGGAGCTTCCTGAGATGAGCATTACCTAGACTGAGCCCTCAGATTCAGCTGCCCATTTGAGAAATCTCTTTCCAAGAATACTTTGTGCTAAGTAAAAGGAGGAAAGGTTTTGGGGGGCTTTTACCAAAGCATGGGTTAGAAAAGCACAGAGGTTGGTGACTCCCAACTCTCAGAAATGAAATGGAGGAGAGAATCCCAGTAGGGTTTTAATTTTACTATTTTAATGGAAAGTGTGGCCAGAAACCCATGTGATAAGATATTTTTTAAAAATGTGTTTTGGCCCGGCCAGTGTGACTCAGTGGTTGAGCACTGACCTATGATCCAGGAGATGGAGGTTCAATTCCCAGTCAGGGCACATGCCTGGGTTCTTCTCCACCCCCAGTAAGGGGCATGCAGGAGGCAGCCTATCAATGACTCATTGATGTTTCTGTCTCTCCCTCTCCCTTCCTCTCTCTGAAATCAATAAAGACATATTTTAAAAAAACAACAAAAAAAACACGTGTTTTGTTTTTTTGTTTTTGAGAAAATTCACATATAAAATTCAGCATTTTAAAGTGTACAACTCAGTGGTGTTTATCGTATTCAGAATTGTGCAGCCAGCACCCCAGTTAATTTTAGGGCATTTTCATCTTCCCCAAAAGACACCTTTACCATTGGCAGTTAGTCCCCAT